GTGGAACCGACCTTCGAATCTCTTCACCCAACACTTTCACTCGAAATGGAAGTAGGCTCAACAATTATGACACAACAGATTCCTCGAAGCCCAACTTTTATTCGCACAAACTAACTGTTACTGAGACAGTTGAGCTGGCTTCCATTTCGATTGAAAGTGAATGCTGATAAGCTTACATGGGCCAATTTCATAGGAAGAAGATAGCATATCGCACAGTACCAACTATATTTGAGCATTTCTCGAACGCTTTGGCTGACTTTGTCATCGATACTAGAGAAAACGAGCTGAGCTTTTGTCCGACATGCCAGTTTACAGGCACTATAAGACCTGAGCGTAATGCTTTCGGCTTTTTCACTTGAAATAGCGCTGAAGGATAACTTTACTTTGTGTGTTACATGTGAATTAGGCTCCAGCACTCATGGCCAAATGAATGGGAGTTTCCAAGAAAACGGCTGACCCATTGGTTTACCGATGGTTGCAGGCATTATGTGGGACTACGAAGAGAAGCTGGTTTACCATGACTCACTTTCCGGGTCCATGGTGGTGTACCTTCCATTTTGTTTGGATGGAAGGAATTCGTGTATTGGCCTTACCTGAAAGTGAAGGAGGAATGCCTTGCAGTTATGACTGTTGAATTGTAAGAAGGTCTGCGAGGCTGTTCAATTGGTTCGTCTCGTAGTGACTACCATCTTCAAGGTCAGAAACAGTTATACACGAAAAACCCACCGAAACTCTAATAACCTTTCAGTACATCTATCAAATGACAGTCATAGTCAGGTCGCCAAGGCAATTCTCCTTCGATGTCCGCAGAGACAAATTGACGAGTCCTCTTCTCTCTTTTCATACCAAATAAAAGGTGCGACACCCTGTGGTATGGCTATTTCTGACTGGTTCAGGTTGACAAATTGGCCATTCTGATGTTCTGCTACTTGTCGATGGAAAGCACAATGACGTCATGACGAGTGGGCTGACTGTCTACAGTTGTTGCTCCACCCTTTCGACAGTTAAGCCGCGGCTGCACCTTTGGCCGTTCATCGAGGCTCGAGCACATATCCAACCGAACTCCACCCACAACGAGAGTATGCGATGTCTTTGGGCTGGCGTTTGCTGCGTCATCGCTGCGAAAGATGAGTCAGGAGGGTCAAATGTGTTGGCGAAAGCCAGAGGAACACTAAGGAAGCATCGAAACAATTGACGGATTGAAAGTGAGTGGGAGAGCGCGACTTCCGTCGCCTCAGTAACCCAAACTTTTGGTGCATAATGGGCATATGAGCTAAATTGCCTTCAGGTTCCCAGCAAGTTGGGCAAAATTTTGGAGCCGACCGCCCGGCAACTGTCCCATCTGAGACAGCAGGTTGTGTGGGCCTCGGTCCTCCGGCTCATGCACACCTCCCCTCTGCCACCCACTCGAATCACACATTTGTGTAAATGAGTAGCTCCGGCCAGGACTTCTTTGACCAAATGTTGGAAATTGATGATTTTTTGGCGTCACCTCTCCCGTCCAAAGATATTGGTCCTGCCAAAGTGTCGCGACTGAGCGTGTGTTTTGTTCACTAAAGCATGTATGTCTGTTGTGTGCCTGTTCTTGTGTGTATGCGTGTTTGTGAGGGTGAGTTGATGTTTTAGCGCACAACTTGAGGGCAGACGTGCAGATGGGAGGAGGGAATGGGGAGAAACGAAGGTGTAACGGGGAGGCGAGGCGACCCGAGGTGAGTGGGAATAGCATGGCATTGTGTCATTGACCTGTGGGCCCCATCAACATGCCAGAGACCCTGACCCGCTCTTGCAAAAGCCATCATCTCACACCCACCATGCACACGGCTGCATTAACAAACACGTTGGCAGGCAGCACACAGACAGACAAAAAGAAGCAACCGGCCAATACACACATCGGCAACCCAGTCAAACATATCACATTTGTCTGAAACGACTATTCAGGCGAAAAATCCCCGTCTGTTCGGGACCACTGGGCCGTCTCTCGCCTTGCTCCCTTCCCTTCGTCACCTACTCAGACCGTCATTGTCTTATCCTGTCGCCGGTTTTCCCACTCCAGCGCCAGTCCCATCACCCCAACCCACCCCATTGCCATCGAATAGCCTTCACTTGTTCTCTCTTCACTGGGTCTAGTCTTGCCCACATCCCACTTCCCCCTGTCCTCATCACTTGGCCCTTTGCCCTCTTGCATCGAGGCGAGAGAAGATCCGAATTGTGTTTTTCACACCTCAAATTTCATATACAACATTTTTGCAGGCAACCGCTCCAATCGTTGGTATGTAGAAAAACTGGGTTTCGAAGACTCCCTTAATAGATTAAGGCTGGAGTACCTTTCATTTCGTTTGAAGAGGCGAGTGGAAGGGATTCATAAGTTGGTGCCACCGGAGGCTGTGGGGGGGTTGTCTTGAAACTGTGGTTATAGATTTGTGCGAATAGGTCCTTGGCGCACCACACCCTGCGACCCGATGAATCCTTGCTGAGTTATCGTCTGTCATGTAATGGACATCATCAGAGCAGAACGTAATTCACCAAAATCACGAAGGCAAGAAAAGTACAACCCTTTGCATAAATGACCATATTTGCATACAGTCAGACATTTTGACGTGTCTTTTTTGCAATAGAACCCTGAAATTTCAGAGGTTGTTTGACTTTGTTCTTGCAACATGGTCATATTGGTAGGAAGACTTAGAGGAACGCACCTAGTCCGGAGTCCATTGTCTACATGCTCATATCCAAAGTTGAACCGTGGATGTGGTACATTCGCAAACGTTTCGCCGGCATCGTAGTCGGCATCGTCAGTGAGTATCGCCATTCCTAGCACCATACAGCAACTCATCAAAAGGGACAAGTGAAGCCGATGCTTTGACCAGACGTATGACAAAACAATCGTCGTATCTCCCCTTCTGCCTTTGGTTATTCGCGTTTCCGGTAGCATCCTATCATGCCTTCACTATTACAATTTTTACCATGTTTATTTAGATATAATGTGGTGTGCTCCTTTGAGCGACATGACACCTTCACACTCCAACTGTCGTTATCACCCCCCTTCATCCTTGTGCAGGGAACGTTGATCAGAGTCTGCTTTATTATTATG